ACACACGAAGTACCTGTAGGAAAAATATTGTTTTCTCCCACTACCTACCAGGAGAACAGAATAGGTGAGGTCTTCGCTTTAACGTATTTTGTATCAGGAGAATATCATGTACTAGGATGTGTTTCTGCTCCTAACACACGAAGTACCTGTACGAAAAATGTTGTTTTCTCCCGCTATACCTACCAGTAGAACAGAATAGGTGAGGTCTTCGCTTTAACGTATTATGTATCAGGAGAACATCATGTACTAGGATGTGTTTCTGATCCTAACACACGAAGTACCTGTACGAAAAATATTGTTTTCTCCCACTATACCTACCAGTAGAACAGAATAGGTGAGGTCTTCGCTTTAACGTATTTTGTATCAGGAGAATATCATGTACCAGTATGTGTTTCGGCTCCTAAAACACGAAGTACATGCACGAAAAATATTGTTTTCTCCCACTACCTACCAGTAGAACAGAATAGGTGAGGTCTTCGCTTTAACGTATTATGTATCAGGAGAATATCATGTACTAGGATGTGTTTCTGCTCCTGACACACGAAGTACATGCACGAAAAATATTGTTTTCTCCCACTACCTACCAGGAGAACAGAATAGGTGAGGTCTTCGCTTTAACGTATTTTGTATCAGGAGAATATCATGTACTAGGATGTGTTTCTGCTCCTAACACACGAAGTACCTGTACGAAAAATATTGTTTTCTCCCACTACCTACCAGGAGAACAGAATAGGTGAGGTCTTCGCTTTAACGTATTTTGTATCAGGAGAATATCATGTACTAGGATGTGTTTCTGCTCCTAACACACGAAGTACCTGTACGAAAAATGTTGTTTTCTCCCGCTATACCTACCAGTAGGACAGAATAGGTGAGGTCTTCGCTTTAACGTATTATGTATCAGGAGAATATCATGTACTAGGATGTGTTTCTGCTCCTGACACACGAAGTACCTGTACGAAAAATATTGTTTTCTCCCACTACCAACCAGGAGAACAGAATAGGTGAGGTCTTCGCTTTAACGTATTTTATATCCAGAGAATATCATGTACTAGGATGTGTTTCGGCTCCTAATAGACGGATTCGACAGAATCGATGAGCACGCCTTTTTTTTTACTTTGTTTAAACCTTTCCAACTGTTGTATCAGGACACTATAATGAATGGAGTCTCAAGCAGAGCCTCCGGCTCGCTCGGCGTTCGTAGACACAGCTTGGTCAAATTTTTTGTGCCATTTAACACTATGTCTACGAATTCAGAGCGAGCTCACCCCTCTTCATCTCTTTCTCTCACCTTCTTTCACCTCATCTTTGTGCTCTGTTGTCAACTCTTCCTCATCTGCTCCATCCTCGCCTCCCTTCTCTCCAGATTTTCCAAATGTACATTACCTAGCACCCGCTTCTCATCTTTGCTTGACATGACTTTCGACATTTAACCACGCCTTCTTGTTTTATCATCTCTGTTCTTCCCTACTCGTTTTTTAACCTTTCTTTGTTCTCCTTATCTTTTCTATTCTTCAATCCCTTAACTCGCGTTTTCGTTTTTCTCCTAGTCGACTCCTTTCCCTTTTTCAGCCACATTTTCACATAGTCCCACCTGCTTCTCTCCTGATACTGCATCCTTCCTGGTTTCTGATCTGTTACCCTGCTCCTCTCTTCTCCCTCTTTCTCTCTCCATTTTCAATTTCTTTGTCTTCTTCACTTCACTTGTCCATTATTTTCTCTTGTTCCTTTCTTCCATTTCATTACCTTCTCCCTCTCCTGCCATGTATCCTCTATATGTTTTAACCATTTTCTCCAACCTCAGTCTCTGCTTTCGACTTTCTTGTTTTTTTGTCTTGTTTCTCTCCTCACATTCCCTTCTCTTATGCAACATCTTCCTCTTTCTCGTCTTTCTATTTTTAATTTACTCTCTTCATCGAGATTTTCTGTTTTTCATGCGTTTCTCATTCATTTTTCTCCTTCTATTCCTTCCGCTCCTTTCTACTCCACCTGTTTCCTTTTTTAGTCTTCTACTACACTTTGTTTGTGTAGGAAGATCACTATTCCTTTCATATGATCCTTTATTCTCTTCATCCTAATTTTCGTTCTATATTCTTTACTTTCCCTTTCTATACCCTTTTCTCTTGCTCACCATCTTCCCACTGTCAACCTCCTTCCGCATTACTCTTTCTTTCCATACCATTATCTACTTTTTTATCCACTGTCTTCGTCGTCTTATTCCCCTTGCACTCTCGTCTTAGTTTCTTCATCTCTTCCATCCTTTCCATTCGCTATTTCGACCACATCTTCCTCTCCTTTCCATTTTTACGTTTCTCTTCTTTCTTTTTTATTATGCTAGGTCACAGTTTTTTCTCGTTCGCTCTCTATCTTCTTTTCCCTTCTGCTTTTCTTCCTCAACACTCCTCTTCCTCTCCTTGTCTTTTATATTGCCTTGTTGGGTAATACTTACTTGGCTCCTTTTACTCCCACTATGTATTCCCCACCTCCTCCTCTTCCACATATCATTTTTAGCGCATTTTTTAAGAATTAAAAGCAGTGTGCTATTGTGTGGTTTTGTCCGTCCGTCCGTCCGGACCCACTTCTACCGTTTTGAACTACTTTTAGGGGAATGGTCCTAGAGTTCTGGAATTTTTTGCAGTAGGTAGCCCATACCTTGAAGGTGTGCCAGACGGCCATCAAATTTCGCTGTCTAAAAGGCGCCCCCCCCCCCCCACGAATTATTGCCTGAGATGCTGTTTAAAACGTGCATAACTTTTACATACGAAACCATTGGTCTCAGATTTTGGCATACGCATGCCTTTAGTGTCAAGTTAAACTTTAGAAAATGGGGAATGGGGGGGGGGTAAACACATGTTCCACCCTTCATGGTATTCTAATGAAAGGTCTTATCGAAATAAATTGGTTTGTACAAACTACAGCTTTCCCGTGCGACACTTTTTCCAGATCAGTGAGCGACGGGACCTGAGGGGACGGGGTGAGGAGGGGGGAATTCCTTTTTTTTCTCATTGTATTCTAATTAAAGGTCTCAACGAAAGGAACCGTTTTCTACCAACCACCGCTCTTCTTTTTGTTCTCTTATCAAAGTACGGGGAGAAGGGGTAAGGGAAGGGGGGGGAGTGGAACTAGTTTTATCCTTCATTGTACTCTAATGAAAAGTCTCAACGAAAGGAATTAGTTTCTACCAACCATAGCCCTCCTCTGTATGTTTTTCTATTTTTCATCCCTCCGACATCACGATCCTTCCCCACGCCTCTTTCTTTTGTCTCCTTTTTTCTCCCTCTCACATCCTTCAATTTTTTTCCATCGGCTTCTTTCTCTTCCTCCTTTCTCTTTCATTCTTTTTTTCATGTTTTGTCGCCACTCGTCTTTTCCCGCTTTCTCTAACCAGACTGCTCGCTCTGTCCACTTTTGCACTCGTAACTTCTTTTTGTGTTGTGTTTCTTTTCTCCGTTTGTCAATATTTCTTCTTTGGGTAAAATGGTCAACCGTTCAAATAAGGTCTTTTTCATCTCTCCTATCATCTACCTCTTCGTTGTCTTCTCTCTATCATCAATGACCTCCTCCGAATCTTCATGTTTTTTTATTTATTTCTCCCTCTCCTTCATCTACATGTTCCGTTTCATTTTCTCCATTCTCATTTTCATTTCTTCATTCGAATTTTCTGATATCTTTTCTGTTCCTCTTGCCATATTGTCCTCCCCGTTTTTCTTCTTTCCATTCCACGTTCATTTTTTACGTAGCTTATCTCGTAGCTTATACCTTGAAGGTGTGCCAGACGGTTATCAAATTTCGCTGTCTCAAAGAGGGGGGGGGGGGCATAAATTATTTTTTGAGATGCTGTTTTGAATGTGAATGTGAAACGTGAAACCAACTGGTCTCAGAATTTGCATACGCACGCCTTTAGTGATGCCAAGTAAAATGTTTGAAAGAAAATGGGGGGGGTGAACCCCACGTGGGGGGGGGGATTAATTAGCTTTCATGGTATTCTAATTAAAGGTCTCAACAAAAGGAACTGTTTTATAGCAACCGTTCTTTTTCTAATTCCTTATGAACACAGTCAGATTGGAGAGGGGGAGGGGGGGGGGTTAGAACTGGTTTTATCGTTCATGGTAATCTAATGAAAGATCTCAACAAAGGCTGATTGGGACGCCTTTAAGAGATCTCGAAAACGGTTTGTCAGAGGTAAGTACCCACAAAGGCAAAATAATTTGCCTGGACGAGACATATCTATTGGTCATGTTAAAACTTTCGGTGCAAACGCAGAACGGAGTGTCGGAGGAGTGTACTCTCAAAGGGCAGACAGAACGTCTAGACGAGAGAGATCTACCGGCGATGTAAAAACTTAATTGTGAATATCTCGAACGAACATGTTGTGTATCAAGAGAATATGATGTGTGAGAAGGTGTTTCTGCACCTAATACGTGGAGTATCAGTTTGAAAATTGAATTGCCCTGTTGTATAGTGTCTGAGCGGTAATTTCTGCTCTTAATATACTGAGTATCGGGTCAATTCAAAAGCTCGGAAACTCTTACAACGATTGTATCAGGGGTATCAGGCGAGGAGGTGGTTCTACTCCTAATAAATGGAAAATCTTGCTAGGAGGATGTGTCTTTCTATTCTCAAGAGATATGATCAAGCACATCGATTTAATGTATTTTATTTTTTGTATCAGGAGAGTATGTGCTGCCAGCGGCTAATTTTGCTCCTAATACACTGGCATCTGTTAGCAAAATTGTAACTTTTTTCTGGCTACCAGGGTATTTAACCTTTAAGGGACACTTTTTCAAGTATCTCGCCTGTCCACTCCGGCCCTGCGCGATTACCTTCGATCAGGGCGCCTGACCCTGGCGACAGTAGACAATTAAGGTGGCTTTCGTTATCGCGCAAAACCAAATTAGGTAAACTTCAAGGTTTTTACGCAAATTGTCATTAATATTAATTAGGGGAATACTGTTAAAAAAACAAAGTCATGCCTATTATTTACATACAATTCCTCATTACAGATTTGACTTGGACCAAAACACGATTTCGCCCCCCAGCAACGACGACAGCTTTCTGTACATCGGCTATCCCCAACTGGCAAAGAAGCTTCAGGCCGCCGCCGACACGAAACCGAACGTCTCAAACTGCACAATTGACTACGACAATCACACGGCTCCGTGCAAGCAATACATCGTAAACCCGGGCTGTAAGTACCCTCCCCCCCCCTCGCGCCTCTCAGCCTCTCACCCCCCAATTTTCTAATTGCAGACGTCCCTTCGGCGGTGAAGAACAAACCGAAAGACGTCAAAATCAAGTCCAACGGCACGGATGACGGTTTCAAAGGCGAGGGCGCCGCGTGCGGAAGCTCCGTGGTGAGGGTCGCCCATCAGATGGTCTCCGGCAAGTATCCCATCAACCAGACGGCGATGGTCGACGCCGATCCCCTCCGACCGAAGAGCTTCGCGCCGTCGCGACGAAGAGGCAGCAAATCGCTACCCGCCTCCCCCCTCACCTCGCCGCAGACCTCGCCGAAGGGCAGGCGCCGGCTGACCGTAAACAAGTATTTCACAGGCCCGTTCGTCGACGCCGACAGCCAGCCGAACAGTTGGATTCTGCAGGGACTTTTGAGTAAACGCGAAATGTCGATGTCGGTCGAGCAGATACCGGAGGAGAGCGTCAAGAGTGATATTTTAAAGGCGATCTCCTCGCTTAACGTTCACGAAACTAAACCTAGTGTTAGCAGTGCGAAGAAGGAGTTTAACGCGAAACCTTCCGAGTATCGGGAGATGAACTTTTGGTCCCCCACTACTATGTAGTTTTTAAAGTGTTGGTGATAACTTTGGACATTTTGCAGAGACGGGTAGCGAATAGTTTATTTTATTATAAAATACTAAATTAGTATATTTAAATAAAAGACCCTTAATTTCTTAAGTAAAAGCCGAGTTTCCATATTTTCCGATCCTCCAAATCCGAAACATTCAAAATTACAAAAAAAAAACCTTCCTAGTTCCCATGCATTAAATGAAAGAGAATATTTTGCTGACAGTTTTCTTTATCGCAATTTCGCCGAGTACCTTTCTTTATACGTTGTGGCAGTGTGTGGGGTGCGGTAAGATGTTTATGGAATTTGCTGAATAGCACGCCGTATATAAATACTGGTGTCTTTTACTAACTTTTATTTCTATACGATTATGTGAAGATCCATAGGCGTACTTTAACTTAACGAAAACTATAACACACTTTTTCTATGATAGGTATCTCAAATTGGCACGACTCTTTCGTCTTGACTCCTCGGATGTCAAAACAAGACTCTTAATTAATGCAGAATTAATCCTCTCTCCCTAAGTCTCTATACTAAGCTATCTTAAAACGCCTATTTCATGGTGGAATAGAAATGGCGGAGATACGCTGTTAATTTTCATTATAACAAATATAAATTCAATGATATGATGAAGACAACAAATAAAGCTCGTTGAACTCCAATTGACGAAATAAAAACTTTAATGGGACATAAGGAATATTATTGAAACCATGACAATCTTTGCATTTTTCAATGGAATAAAATCGGAAAAAATTTACGTAAAATTATCGCTATAGTTACCAAGGTCTCCTTTGCGTTCCCCCCCTCCCCCCTCAATTTTCTTCAAGAAACCGCTATCCACGCCTGTGGACCTGGCACTGGTTCTCTCTATATAGCGATCCCAGTTGATTCTTCTCGGATATATCTATGATCAGATGGCGACATCATACAAAATTAGCGCGTTTCCAACGACACTAAGCACTGCCTAATCAGACGCCGTTTGCTGCTTTACATCTGATTAGTTATGGGGGCGCTTCACGCACTCTCCGAAAAGGGGGTAGAATCTTTGGTCTGTATTTTTTAAATGGGCGGGGTTTCAGCCAAGTTTTTCTACCAAGCCAACACACTATACACTCCGGATTCGAACCACGCAGACCGTCTTTTTACAAAGACACGCCCAAATCGCCATCGTGGTCTTCACCTATTGCCCACCGTTTATTACCATCCAAACCGATGGATGGCGCCCAATCCGGTACCAGAACAGAGACCGGCCGAGTCCACTCCCGCCCAGCAAGTCACTGAAGATACAGAGGACTTGCTGTCTGTGAAAGAGGCCGACTATTTTCCTTGAAGAAATGCTTTAGAGGCCTTTATCGACTGCTCGTGATTTAATTTTGAGGCTTATCTTAATAGAAAAGGTCTATAAAGGCTCTTTTTGGAGACACTTTTTTAAAGACACAACTGGGACCTTTTCCAGGCTGTCTATTTTCCTTAAAAAACATACCTATTTAGAGTATAGACACATTTATCGATCACCCATGGTTTAATTTTGAGGGTTTTTTAAAATAGATGAGTTTTTTAAAGGTTATTTAGGGCTTTGAAGTCCCTTTGGAGACATTCTTAAAGAATCAATGGGGACTTTGCCCAGGCCGATCTACTTTCTACTGCTCGTGATCTAATTTTGAGGGTTTAGGCGAATAAAAAAGGATTTTGAGGTTATTTAGAGCCTTGAGAGCTATTAAAGATTCAACTGGGATCTTTTCCAGGCCGAAGGGAATATCTTTTGAGACACTTTAGTAACATTTATCACGGGAGGAGTTATCCAAATGGAAGGGATGCTTTTGAGGGTTTTTAGTGCTTTGACGGCCCTTTGGAGACATTTAAATTATCTGTCCTTTCGGTTGTGATTTGGCTATTCTGTTTCCGCCCTCATTATTTCGACAAGCACGTTTTAGTTCAACACGTGAAATGGTGAAATCCATGCGGTTCTAATTGCATCATCTTTAAATATTGTTCTTTGGGGTTGTGGGATTTCTCCGGCCTGGAGGATATAATTTGGATTTTATTAATACGTGAGTTGACTGGTATTTTTACCTTTTGCCATTGGAGTTTCGAACCGACTTATAAGTCAATCGTTGCGGCAAAATCATTTATTGATTGGAGGTAGGTTAAAGGGGTTATTATATGTGGTTATTTTCAGGGTTTTTACCTATAGCTTCAAATTTTATTTACATTTACATCGATCTAATTACGGTTATCAATGCCAGGTTCTTATCTAAATAACTGCGTGCGGCTATTTCGTTGTGGAAGTTATGCGAAATCGAAGGCTAATCTGTAATCTCAACGCGTAGATAAGGAGTTGGGTCAGCTGGAATTAAAATACCTCCCATGGGATACACCTTGTAATGACTGGGCTCAGTAACAACATTTTCAGTGGTGAAGCTAAGTATCCTAGGCGAGTAACTACTAGATTTCATGGCTTTTACCCAGAAAAGTGTAGTACCCGCTACCCAATTTCAGTAAATCTGGTTGAACGGATGCGAAATCATTCAAATGCTTCATGGGGGAGCAGCATTCTCCTCTACGTTGGACTCCTGAGGCGTACAAGGTCGACATTTACTCAACGTCTTATTCCAGAAATTTTCTGGTAAAAGCTCGATTGCCACTTTTCGAGAAATCGGACGCGACCATGACTCGTTAAAGGTGATAAAGGCACGAGTACTCAGAGTAGTGGGAGACCCAGGGCGTAGCCATCCCTGCCTAGTTAATTTGGTATCGGAAAAATAAAATTAAATTCTGCGTATTGTAGTGAACATTCCAGAAATTACGATAGACATCGAGGCGCCATGGAAGATTATAGTAATCGGCGATAAAGAACGACGGCGGATGTGACGTAATCTTTCCCGGAACTGTGACGTGTTTTGTTTTAGAACATTCGAACAGACTTGCAAATACTCGAGAACACTTTATAAGCAAATCGCGTTTTAAGACAGTTCCAACTTCGATGCGCTTGAGTTACGTTATAAATTGCAAGTGATAAATAATAATCGGCTATATAAGTGTTAGCAGCTATGAAACCTATCTATTACTGGAATTAAAATACCGAAGTTAGTAATTAATTGGATAATTCCTCTTCAAGGAACTTTACGCGGACAATTATAACAACAACCTTTGCAAAAGCGTTAAACATCCTCATTCGTTCGTAAATCAGTAAATGCCCCCTGCACACGTGTAAGGCGACGGAGTGGCGCCCGGTGGTCTCCTCCGGCCCTCTGACCCTTGGGATTTAGGTTAGTTGCTGAGGTTTTCGCTTCTTGGTCCAGGCGGGTAAGGCGCGCGCACATCTTTGCAACACACCTGCATCTCTTATCAGCGATAAAACACGTGCGTTAATTAAATTTCGCCCGATAAAAAAACACTTCTTATCGCAAACAACCAGATGTAACCTCATCTAAATTGAACACTGAAATACAAATTCAAGTGAACCATCAGGTTTACACAACAATTTTTTTACATACAGGGTGGCCCAACATTATTGATGGTGCTGAAGTCAAAATAACCTCTATATGATGTAGTTTACACAACTATACATAAAGACTATGCACACTAAAAAAAACCATGGAATAGTTGGCTACAGGCAACCAACTCTCCACGTATTTTCCCGAAGTTCTGCAAACGTCACGTGTGTTTTTGTGATGACGACACCACGAACTTTGCCGAACGCGTGTTAAACTAATTTTGTGTTTATTTTAAAAGAGAAAGCGTCGAGAGGATCTCAAAAATTCGCAAAAAATTCGAGAAGGGTTTTTAAACGAATTGCTCGGCTCCCTGGCATCGTAAAAATCCGGAACATGACATGAAACATCGTGATAAAATAGCGCACTTCCAATGACACTAAACGCAGCCTAATCAGACGCCGTTTGCTGCAGCACATCCGATTGGCTACCGATAATTATACTTACTTAATTGGCCGGATTGAAATTCCAAAATTCGGTAGTCCCCTTGTTGGTCAAGCGAGAGGTCGGCTTATCTATACGTGCGTTGCATGGCCTTGCTTGCTTCAATCCTGGTTTTAAATTAGCATCGCAAAACTAAAATCGCCTAATAATTAATAAACGAAACGGAAATCTCTAAATTTTTCTCTTTCCAAATGACGAGAGGTTTCGGACGTTAAAAACCCGACGGGAACGGTTAGAAAAGTAATAAACTGTTGTTTATTTTACTATCGGCGGATGAAAACGGTGTTACTCATTAAACCAATTAATTTTACATTTCACCGTCACCTGGAATATAAATGTCTAGAAGTTACGGTTTTTAGTAATGAAGCGCTTGTTCGATTTTATCCATGTGCATTCATTAACGTGGGTAGATTCCCTATTAGAAAACGGGTGCGTCGTTACTGAATTGTGTTTAGTCTCAGTCTTAGCATCGATGTGTATGTGATAAATAGTGAAATCCGCGCTTGCAATTTGGAAAATTGGATAGTGGAACGCCTTGCGCAATACAATCGGACCTTTTGTATCGCCAGTTAAAATTTGGTTACTCACTGAAAGTGAATAGTTAACGAATTTGAATTCGGAACAAACCGTGCTTCGGGTTTCTCGAATTTTAATAGTTTGGTTTACTTACTGAAATAATTTACCAATGTTCCGCGGTATGGAAATGTCCAAAATTACCCTTACAACTTGTGGTTTTGTCAGTTAACAAAAGCGCGAATTAATTGTCTTTAACCTTTTTACCGGTTGCCTTTTTAATAATTTCTATTAACACCCCGTATACAGAAGAGAGGAGCACAGTTTTGATTGACAAACTTACAAACGTAACTAGCCATTGCAAATATAGCGCAATGAACGTTTTGCACCTTGGACCTGAACGCTTTCGTGGTACAATTTGTTAATCCGATAATACTACGAAACGAATTTGTTCGCATCCGCACCATTCACTGTTGAAATTTATATCAGCCGGTTGATCGACTCCGCTACGTAATTAAGTTCCTGTATTTTCGTAGGCCTCGACCACTTATTAGTTGTAACGGAAAATCGTGACGAATCTAAAAAACACCCCCGACAATAACTTTAGTCGAAATTGGTGGTACAAATTTTCCCGATTGTTTTATATGATGCGGTTATCGATCAAT